AATTTCATAAATTCAACAAAAATGGTAGAAAAGTTCACTTACTTTGAGGTGTGTATGTAGAAGGCTCCTGGATGATGATGGGATTTAGAATAGGGGTGGAGGAGAAGGAAGAAGAGAAGGCATTGGGGTGGAAGAAGTCACCCCATGGCGCCATTTCACCCATAAAATTTTAGCTCTCTTGGTGTAATTCAAGATTATTTTCTTTAAATCAACACTGCACTGCATTATATATTGTCAATATATAAAATATATTTCAAAATGACCAATAATTTGCTTGGAAACACAGAAAAAAAGCGTTTAGTTGAAGAGAGTCTCAAGCAAGATGTTACCTCCAGTGAAAACAGAGAGACTAACTCCTGTTTGCTGTGTTAAGAGGCTGGATGCCGAGCATTAAACTAGTCACTTTACCTTCAATTATGTTCAATAATTGTTAAAATGGCTAAAAAATTGAATATTAAACTTTTAAAATTATTGAATAGTATAAACTTCTTGATATTTACTAAAATAGTAAGGAATTTAAGCCCTAGAACCGATTAATGTATTGGCGGACTGATACTAAAGCTGGTTGCCCGGCCAGTGCAAGCGAAAACATATTGAGGTCGGTTCGTAAGAACTTCGTTAACCGAATTTTTTTTCGTTAACCGAATTGAAGATCCTTATGGAAGGCAGTTCACACGAAAATTACAAGTAATCCCAGGCAAGCTCAAACTAGGGGAAGTCACGTATATATATATATATATATATATATATATATATATATATATATATATATATATATATATATATATACATATATATATATATAATATATATATATAATATATATATATAATATATATATATATATATACTGTATACCGTATATCTCGACCTACAAGACGGAATTTGAACAAAAAAAATCTGCCCAAAGTTAGGGGGTCGTCTTAAGCACCAGAGATAAAATTCTTACCTCTTAAATATTGCGGTTTAGCGTGTCAAGAGTGGTGATGGAAACATGATAAACCACTCACAAGGTCCTACCACTAATTATTTTATACTGAAACTTACGTTTGGGAAACTGGATTAAAATGAAGATTACCGGTAAATTAAAATAATAAAAATGTATTATAAACCAGTCTAACATACCGTAAAAGAACACTTGCAGTGTGTTTAATATATTACAGTATGTTATAAATAAATAAACAAATAAATCGGTAAATCCATTTCAAGCAAATGAAACAATTGTATTCGACACCGACATTAGTTCAAGTTAAATGACAGACGTTTAAGTGAGTCACTAGTGTTTACACTACACCAACCGGTAACATTTGATGCCATAACTTGAAGTGAATTGGCCTTATTTTAAAAAACCAAGGACGTGTAAACAGCACTGGTCAATGGGATGGTTGGTAAAGGACTACTGGGTCAGTAAGCTCCCAATGGCAAGTGTCACATTTGGGGTACCGGTCTTATACAGCGAATAAGGCTCAAAAGATACTTTTTAAATGGACATTTTTGGGGTCGTCTTATACACCCCGTCACCTTGTAAGCCGAGATATAAGGTACTGTTTCTTCAATTTTGTGACTACGGAAAAGAAGAATATCTCCGGGAAGCGTTCTGGTGATCGCATTTGCGGTGGTGATCGTAAAAGAAAGGCTATAACACTTGAAGAAAAGCTTGATGTTGTCAAGCGTTTTGAAAATAAGGAAAGAACATGTGATATTGTGCGTGCAACGGGTATAAAGGAGTCTACTTTACGCACCATTAGAGACAATGTAGCAAAGATTAAAGCAAGCTGTATTGCTGGAAAAACCTTGAGTGCTCGCAAAAGTGTGAGATCACGGCCAAAGGAACTTGAGGAGATGGAATGGCTTCTAAGTGTTTGGATAGAAGATCAAACGAAAAAGCGATCTGGGACCAGCTTCCTCACCATTAATGAGAAAGCCTTATCAATATATGAGGACCTAAAGAAAAAAGCTGAAAATCCTGATGCTGTGATTGCCTTTCGTGCTAGAAGTGGATGGTCTGCTGGTTTTAAGAACCGCTATGCATTTCATAATGTAAAGTTATGTGGTGAAGCAGCCAGTGCCGACGAAGAAAGTGCGCGGGCATTTCCTCCCATTGTGAAGAGATTGATTCAGGAAGAAGGCTACACCTTAGACCAAATTTTTAATTTGGATGAAACAGGTTTATACTGGAAGAGCAAGCCAACAAGAACTTACATTTCCAAGAATGAAGTACATGCTCCAGGCTTTAAGGCTGCAAAGGACCGTGTGACAGTGTTGTTGGGTGCAATGCTAGTGGAGACTTAAAGCTTAAGCCTGTTTTTAAAAATTATTACAAGAACAAGAATACAGATTTTAAGATTCTCCTCATTTTAGATAATGCACCAAGCCACCCTCCCACCATTGCTGAGCTTTCTGACAATATCAAAGTGCTCTTTCAACCTCCAAATACAACACCTCTCCTTCAACCAATGGACCAAGGAGTAATAGCAGCCTTCAAAGCCTATTATTTGAGGCATACATTTAAGAAACTTATTGCAGCTACTGAGGAAGGAAATGATAAGGCCAGTGTTCTTCAGTTTTGGAAAAGTTTCAACATCAAGCATGCAATTGACATCATTGTGGAGGCCTGGGGTGATGTAAGTAAGGACTGCTTGAGTGGAGTTTGGATGAAGCTTCTCCTAGATTTAATTCATGATTTTACAGGCTTTGATGCATCAGAGGAGCTCAAAATAAAAGAAAATTGTGTTTTTCTTGCAAAGCAAGTTGGCTTTGCTGAAGTGGAAAGTGCTGATGTTGAGGAACTGCTCGAGTCCCACTGTGAAGACCTCTCTACAACTGATCTACAACAACTTGTTGCTGCTGGGGAAATAGAAGATGCCGAAGATGATGAAGTCAAGGATGCAAAACCATGAGAGCTTCCCACTTCTGTTTTGTCTTCTATCCTGCGGGAAGTTGATAAGCAGTTGCAGATCTTGGAAGACAATGACTACAATGCAGAAAGGAGCAGGATTGCAGTTCGTGGTGTTAAATCTTTTTTGGCACCTTATGAACAGCTTCTTTGTGAAAGAAGAAAGATGGCAAAGCAGCAAACATTAGACGTCTTTTTTAAGTCAACTACCAAGAAGCAGTCTGAAGACACTGAACCACAGCCATCCACTTCTGGAATTAGAGTTTTTTTTTTGTCTCTCCCATGCAACCAAAACTGCACCTGATACTGATGATGACAACTGTCAAATCCTGTCTGCAGGACTCCTCAACCTCAACCTTCTCCCCCATCAAGTTATATTCATATTTTTTCAAGGTAAAGTGTAACATTTACTGTATGATTTCATTACTAGATATGAATGTAACATTTATTTAGACTGTGCTATCGTTTGTGTTAGGCTAACTACTAATTTTTTTTTATTTCAAGTAATCTGCACCTAACCCTATTTTCTCCATAAGCCCTGTTATTTCTATTGTGCGAATTTCTACAACGCGAGGTTTTACAAGAACACAACTATCGCGTTATAGCAGAACTGACTGTATATGTATGATGTGTTGTCAATAGTAAGAGAAACATTTGAGACCCTGCAATTGTGGGTAAATGAGGCAGAAAGTCAGCATCCTGGGGTTGGTCAAAATTTTTGTGATGCCATATGGCAGCAGGGTCTACCATTAGACAACACATTATGCTTCCAATATCTTCCCAGGCGGTAGTACCTCCCTGTTTGGTAGCTGCCTACTACCTAGTGTGAATAGATGACAGCAAATGAGGAGAGTCTATGATTGCTCTTGGTACTTGCCATCCTGCAACATAGCAGGAAGGGGCAAGTAGGATTGAAGATAAACAGGTAAAATAAAGAAATAGGCGTTCATACCAGTTCTGAATGAATAGAATTTACGTAAAGTTCAATAATCTTGAACTAACAAAATTAAAGAATAAACAATGACATTTCACACAACTGAATACTGGTAATATCAAAGACTGTCTGCTTCTCTCTCTCACTAAATTAAACCCCCAAGCTTTATAGAAGTAAGGTACAATACACTGCATGTGACTGTATACATCACATTGAATACTGTACGTTAAATTATGGCCTGAGTATGACAGTGCACATAACATCCAAACACAACTTGGATGACAGTAAAAAGAAGTGGCTTAAATTAAATCGGCCCAGCTGTGGGACATACAAAAATTCATTATTATAAAGAGTCCGCCAAAAGTAGTGAAAGAATTTCAATTTAGTGTCTAGGAAATAAAACATAACAATAGAGGCTTAATAAATTTTAAATTGATTCTGGAATATGTAAAAAAAAATTGAATTGATGATTTTGTTTTTCAGATTGTGTGACACTAAAGTTTATTGAAGATGGAGAGGTGGACAATTCAACAGCAGTCACAAAATGTTGAACTTTACTTTAAAAACAACTGCTCCATTATTGCAGCCCGAGCTTATCGGCGTATTAACCAAGTTTGGAATGCTCCTCTCAGAACATGTTATCCATTGATGCGTGGCACGATTTCGAGAAGATGGTACTGTATAAGACAGACATCTCATGTCGTGGTGACATTAACTGGCCAGCAAGGTCACCCAACTTAACTGTACCAGACTTTTTCCAATGGGAATATTTAAAGTTAAGAGTCTACATCCATAAACCACGAACACTTGATGATTTGAAGCAAAACATAAGAGATGAAATTTGTGGAATCAATCAAGAAACTTTACTTGTTGTTATGGACAATGTTTTGGAAGGCACATTCATGTATTGCTGCTCAAGGTTAACATTTGATTGATGTTGTTTTTCATATTACTGTATAAGTTAATTAAATCTCAATGTCTCAGATTTGTATTAAAATTATTATAACCTTTAATAAAATAATTTTTTTTTTATTCTTCTTTCAAATGTCTACACTACTTTTGGCAACCATGTATAAATGACGAATTCATTTAATTTCATTCCTTCCTGTTCCCGTTCATACAAATATGACTTTGATGAAAATCAGTACTGTATGCTTACGATATACTTACTTTTTTCTTAAAACTATCCTGTGCATTCCTTTCACGCATCTCTGAGAAATATAGGGACTTTCAAAGTCTTGCAATCTCTTGACAACTGAAAGAAAAAAAGTCATTGACTGGCATATTGTAGCGTCCTTAAATCCTTCCTGATCAACACAGAGTGCAACATACAGTAAACACATGACCTCTCACTGGTATTCATATACATACTGTCTGTAGCTGATATTAAAAAGTATTGTGCATGTAAAGTAAGATTTTTCTTTTTCTAGATATAGATTCCTGCTCTCACATATAAACTACATCATTTTACATGTGAAAAATTTTTATGACTCATCCCACAGCCTTATATGTGATACAAGAAATCTAAGCATTTGGGATTGGTCAAAGCTGTATTTCTGAGAGTTAAGCAATATTTTCACTAGTGCCACATATACTGTAAATAAGGGTCTGTGGTATTAGGTCTTTTTTTTTAAAAAAAAACCCGGCAATTAAAATATGATTTTCATACAAAACAAATATATAAATATACTGCCAATGCCTAAATTATCTAGTTAATGCAAATACCAAAGAAAGTTAAGATTATATTCAATGGCATTAATGTATCATAGAAGCTACTATATAAGTAGCATATGAACTTACAAATACAGTGGTCCCTCGGTTAACGAACACAATTCGTTGCAGAAGGTCGTTTGTTAACCAAAAATTTCTTTAACCAAAACCATTGTTTCAATGGGATTTTGGGTAATTGGTTCCAGCTCACCGAAAATTACATACAAACTAAAATAAATGCAGTAAAGTACACTTACTTTGAGGTGTACATGTAGAAGGCTCCAGGTTGACGATGATGATGGGAATTAGAAGTGGGGATGGAGGAGATGGGAGAAGAGAAGGAAGTGGGGGTGGAAGAGAAGTCACCCCATACTTCATGCCGCCATTTCACCCATAAAATTTTAAGTTCACTTGGTGTAATTCAAGATTATTTTCTTTAAATCAACACTGCACTGCACTATACATTGTCAATATGTAAAATAAATTTCACAATGACCAATAATTGTACTGTAAAAACGTAAAAATTGTTTATGTTCAAGAGAGTCTCAAGCAAGATGTTACCTCTACTGAGCAGAGACACAAACTGACGCCATTCTGGGTGAGTCAAGTGGCAGTTTAGCGCGCTAAAAACTAGTTCCCTGTACTTCAATTATGTTAAATAATTGTTAAAATGACTAAAAATTTTAATATAAGACTTGGAAAATTATTGAATAGTACAACCTTCTTGATATTTACTCAAATGGTAACAAATTTAAGCCCTAAAACCGATTACTGTATTGGAGGACTAATACTCCAACTGGTGAGCAGGTGAAAATATGTTAACACTATTTCATAAGGATTTCGTTAACCGAATTTTTTTTCATTAACCGAGTTGAAGATTCTTATGGAAGGTTAACCGAAATCTCGTTAACCGAGGCGTTCGTTAACCGAGGGATCACTGTATATAGAAGACTAAATGAAGTAATAATACAAGTGAAAAAAAAAAGCTACAGGCATTGCTCAAGTTACAGAAGGGTTAAGTTCCCAAAAAGCTGTCTATAATGCAAAACTAATTGGGAGGAAGAGGAGTCTGGGATAAGAGGTTGTCCACCATTGAGCAAATATTTCTCAAAAGACCACTATTAAAAAATAAATAAAAATAAACAAATAGTGCAAAACCAATGTATCAAATTTTTATGAAAGAAATTCATGTGTTTTAATCAAAATTAATTAAAGAAAAAGTAATGTGTACAAAGTACTGTACACTTACCGTATTTTATGGCATATAAGACACACGACCATATAAGACGTACCCCCCAGGGGGTACAGTACTTAGGAAAAAAACTTTTGTGTGTATTTTCCTCCTGTAGCCATAGTTTTCTTAAAATAATATATACAATACCAGTAAATGTGAGGAATAAATAAAAATAATGCCAATAAATAAATTACAACACAAATACTATATGTAAAGTAGAATGTCGATTTAAAGCGATTCAATTTAAGATTATTGATTTAAAGCGACACCCACAATTAAGGACAGCGTTTTAATTTAAAGCGAGGTCGTTGATTGCATGTTCAAAGTCTGCGTGTTATATGGACTAAAAATGAAGTATACATGGTACCTCGTGTTTCATACCAGCTGGATTCCGTAAAATGCTACTGACACCCACATAAGCAGCACGGGCAGTTCCCAATGGGAGGTTCACGGCGCCATCAGCTCAATGAACAGGCTTTGTGTGAAATATAACAAAGTCTAGAACGGCTTTTAGTGCTCTTGTGGCATGGTCGGTAACGTTCCCTGGTCCCATGCAGTAGGTTGAGTGTTCGAGTCCTGGCTGGTGAGGTCGTTGATTATATGTTCAAAGTCCGCGTGTTATATGGACAAAAAATGAAGTACACATGGTACCTCGTGTTTCACACCAGCTGGATTCGGTAAAATGCTACTGACACCCACATAAGCAGCACGGGCAGTTCCCAATGAGAGGTTCACGGCGCCATCAGCTTGATGAACAGGCTTTGTGTGAAATATCACATAGTCTAGGACTGCTTTTAGTGCTCTTATGGTATGGTCGGTAGCATTCCCTGGTCCCATGCATTAGGTCAAGGGTTCGAGTCCTGGCTGGTGAGGTCGTTGATTATATGTTCAAAGTCTGCGTGTTATATGGACTAAAAATGAAATATATATATATATATATATATATATATATATATATATATATATATATATATATATATATATATATATATATATATATATATATATATATATATATATATATATATATATATATATATATATATATATATATATATATATATATATACAGTCAACCCTCACTTTACGCGGTTAATGTAACCCACAGGGTACCGCGGAAAGTGAGAAACGCGTAAAGTGAATAACATAACATATGGGATTAAATGAAATAGAGACCAGCTGACCCCCAAACTCCACTTTTTCCAACACAATACCTATGTTCTAGTAAAAATAACATCTTAATTTTATGATGGTACATGCACACAATTAATACTTAAGAGAAATAGAGAAATACAGTCGCCAAGTTAATGTCCATTCAAATAATGGACACGACTCCCTCCCCCTCTTCTCACACTACACTGCTGGCTCTTCCCTCTGAGAAATTTTGGGGGGAAAACCAGGTATAGTAATAAATAATACCTCAAACTAAAGTTAGGATAATATAATTGACATTGCTGGATTCCTTGTAAGACCAGGAATATTTTGAATATAAATGTCATATATTTTTCACAAAAGATAACATATTTACTCAGAGCAATCGTTACATCTAAAATTTGTATGTCTAATGCAAAATCTATGATGTTTATATTCAAAATGATCATCAAATTGTAAGAATTCCAGCAATGTAAATTATATTCTGGCCGGGTAATTTGTATGAATTTTATGAGCTAAAACAAACTTTAATCTGAGGTATTATTTAATACTAAATGTTAAAATCTAGTTTTTTCACCCACTCTTTCTCTTGAAGGGAGGGTTGGTGGGAGGTGGGGGGGAGGGTTGGGACGGACTGACCATCTGGCTGGTTGGAAGAGGGGGGGAGGCAAGGTGGGGTACTTTGATTGACAGATAGTGTCGTGAAGAATATTTTTTTTTTATTAACTGAAGATATTTGTTTTAGCTCATAAAATTCATACAAATTACCCGGCCAGAATATAATTTACATTGCTGGAATTCTTACAATTTGGTGATCATTTTGAATATAAACATCATAGATTTTGCATTAGACATACAAATTTTAGATATAATGTTTACTCTGAGTAAATATGTTATCTTTTGTGCAAAATATATGACATTTATATTCAAAATATTCCTGGTCTTACAAGGAATCCAGCAATGTCAATTGTATTATCCTAACTTTAGTTTGAGGTATTATTTATTAAAATTTAGTGGTTTTCCCCCAAAAATTTCTCAGAGAGGGAAGAGCCAGCAGTGTAGTGTGAGAAGAGGGGGAGGGAGTTGAGTCCATTATTTGAATGGACATTAACTTGGCGCTGTATTTCTCTATTTCTCTTCAGCATTAATTGTGTGCATGTACCATCATAAAATTAAGATGTTATTTTTACTAGAACATAGGTATTGTGTCGGAAAAAGTGGAGTTTGGGGGTCGGGCCAGATTCTATTGGAAATAATCCCATATGTTCCGTTGTTCACTTAGCGCGGTTTTCACTTAACATGGTACCCTGTGGGTTTTATTGACCGCGTTAAGCGGGTACTACTGTGTGTGTGTATATATATATATATATATATATATATATATATATATATATATATATATATATATATATATATATATATATATATATATATATATATATATATATATATATATATATATATATACACACACACACACACATACAGTCGAGTCTGGACTTACGCGGTTTTCGTTTACGCGTTTGGTCATTTACGCAGTGCTTTGCCAGAAGCGGGATGCTTGATTTACGCGGGAAATTTGGTCATTTACGCGGAGAGCAGCTGGCGGTCCTGCCGCGCCGCGCCATTTTTGGATTCAAACCTCCCGCCATGTTGGGTAAGCGGCGCGAGAAGGTTGTGCAGTGTATGTCTCTGTTGCGTTATCGGTGACGTCATATGACGTATCGGACTGTGATTGGGCCACGCATCCATACCTCCCTCCGCCGCTAGCTGTGATTGGTTTAATGTAATATGACATGCCCTGCCGCGGGAGGGATGAAGCCGCTTGACCTAGCCACGTTAGTTACGATCCTCCCAGTCACCCCGTATATATACTGTGTTCTAGTGTTCCGCTAATCTCGTAAGAATGGCTTCCACTGGACCCCCACCATCACAGAAAATCCTTGCATTACCTGGACCCAGACGTCCTAAGCCAAAGAAGATACGACGTTCCCTAAGTTACGAGGTGAAGTACAAGATAATACAAGAGTTAGAAAAAGGAACAAGACAGGTTGATCTCGCGCGCCAGCATGGTGTTAACGAATCTACGATCCGGACGATCAAGAAGGATGCAGCCAAGATAAAAGAACACATGAACATCACAAAGTCTGCAGGTGCTT